TGGGAGTTTGAGGCTGCACCCTCTCTCCCCATGGACAGCCCTGCCACCCAGGAAGACGTCACCACCTCGTGTACTACTACCTCCCATTTGTGCTGTACTGGACATGGAACCCATTGCCCTGTGCTGGCTTGAACATACTCTCCCACTGAGCCACACCCAGCCCCCACCTTGTCTTTGTTCAAACCTAGGAGAAGCAGACACTGTCTTCATTTTGCAGACGTAGAAACAGTGTCAAGGGGCTGGAAGAGTTTCAAGGGGTCACACAGTCAAGAAGGCCAAAATGGGAACTAGACATCTGGATCCCTTTCTCCTTGCCCAAGCCCCTCCCTCTAAAGAAATCCCTACCTCCAAATTCGAGGGGGTTCCAAAACTGACCACACACCCCCCAATTCTCTCATCTGGTCTTCAACTGTACACCCCTTGTTTCAGGCGAGGAAACTCAGTTTCCCTGAGGCCAGCTGCGGCCTGTACTCTTCCCACAGCAGACCTGACCATCTATCTGACCTGGGGTAGCACACACTGACCCGCCTGGGGCCCCAGTTCCTCAGGGCTGAGTCAATGAGGTTCTCCCCAGAAGCAGGGCGTGGCAGAGCCAGCCTGAGTAAGGGCCACTGGCACCAGTGTCTCCTCAAGAAGGAAAAGTCCCCACTGTGCTCGCAAAGAGTGAGCCAGGACCAGAATTCCCAACAGCAAAATCCAAGACCCGACCTAGAATTCACCAGCTCAAAAAAAAGTGAACAACCTCCACTCCAAAAATAGCTTTCTCCTGCAATGGCTGAGGGTGGAGAAACCATCTTTATCTTTCAGATCTCTGATGCTGGGGGTTCTTATTAAGGAACAGATTTGCTGATTTCCATTATTGGCAGATTTGATGGGTTTGGGTTCCCCCCCGCCCCACTTGATGAGGTGTGACTCCAGAATGGGATTCACAATTCCCAGAAAAATACAACTGCAAAAAAGCCCTGGAGAATAAAAGCTTCAATATGCTTTCGGGGACACTGTCACACAAGGCGCGGCCACGTAAGGCTAGCACCCTTGCCTGAGCGGGGCCAGGAGGGAAGACGGATCAGTCCACACTGCATTCTGAAGCCTGACTTTTCCCTTGTGCAACAATATGTCAGGGACATCTTTCGAAGTCATTAAAAATTCCACAGTCTGGCTCCGTCTCATTAACATACAGCTCGCTGACATTCAGAAGGGAAGCTATGCACAGATCTGGTTTCCAGGGTCACTGGCGTCGCCTGGTGGGCCACCTCCATGAACTGTCGGCAGTCCTTGCCTGGGGACCCCCAAAGACATGCCTGGCAGCCATGGGCACCTAGGCAAGGATCTGGATGGAGCATCCTCAGGCTAAGATTGCAGAGTGGGGGAGACCACCACAGAGGAGGGCGGTCTCCCAAGTCTCTAAGATGGTTCGAGGTCTATTCCCACCTTGTCACCGGGGCAGGTCTGATCGGTCCCTAGCTCCTGGAGGCAGGAGGCTACAGGCTGTCCCTCCAGCTTCAGGCCTCACCATGCAGGAGCAGAGGCAAAAGCTGAGCTGCTGCTTGGGAAGTGCCAGCCTGCCATCTGCCGGGTGCCCCTTGGGGCCTGCTGACAGGCACATTATAGAAACCCCAGGGAGCCGGCAGAACCAGACACAGCTTTCTGTGGGACTCCAGGGGAGAAGCCACGGACAACAGAGAGCCCTGAGCCCCGTACTAGGCACTCAGTTTCCCTGATGCTATCTGCTCCCTTCCCAAGGATCCCCCCCCCCCCCGGTTGAGAACGCCCTTCCGACACACCCTTTGCAACAGCCTCTAGGCCTTGGCAGAGTCCCCACCTCACCAAACAGACCTGCAACTACGAACATATCTTTGACCCCTTTCTCCAGCCGGCTACCTCCAGGCCTCACCCACATATTGAAGGCCTCCTCTCCCCTCATCTGTACTACAACAGGGGTGCTCTGGCTGGCTACATGTGCCCACCATGCCCTTAGGGCCACTCCCTCCTTTCCTTACAACTGACAGTAAACCCACAGAGCCATCCTTTGTGATACCCTTCATGGTGGGGACTGCCTGCCTGCCTGCCAGCAGCCCCATCATCCAACGTCCAGATGCCAAGAGCAGCGGCAAGCACTTTGCTTAGGCATTTGCCATGGGGACATCGTCCCTTTCTACACGGTGTCAGCAGGGAGAGCTCAAAGGTGGTTCACTCCCATGGCAGTAGTGACCTGAAGCTTGGGACTGAACTGAGTGCCTTGACTCTGCGTGGGTGGTGTGGGCTTCCCTACAGCGTGAGGGATATCTATGAAAATACAAGAAACTTCAAAAGTTAAAACTACCAGTGTGTGTGTGTGTGTACAGGTACATTCACCTATGCATGCATGTGTAGAGTCCAGAGGTTGACATGGGGTGGTTTCCTCAATCACTTCTCCCCACCCACCCCCATTTTTTAGTGTATGTATGTAGATGTAACCAACCTTATTAAATAAGAAACACAGAACCAATGCAAAGAAGAAAGCCAAGAGGTCAGAGCTAAGAGCTAAAACCTTACCCTTCCTCCTGCGGTGGTCCTACCTCTCTGAACCAGAGCTACTTTCTGTGTTAAAGTCCTTATATAGAATTTCTGTTCTGCCTTCTCATTGGTTGTAAACCCAACCACATGACCGCCTTGTCACTGCCTGTCTGTATAGACCTCCAGGTTTTCCATGATTGGTATTGAGATTAAAGGCATGTGTATCCAATAATGGCTGTATCCCTGAACACACAGAGACTTACCCAGCTCTGCCTACCAAGTGCTGAGATTACAAGTGTACGCCACCACTGCCCTGCTCTCCTATGGCTTGCTAATAGCTCTGACCCCGGGCAACTTTATTAACATACAAATAACATTTTAATACAAATAAAATATCACCATATATGTATGCATGTGTGTAGGCATATGTGTGTATGAGTAAGCACGTGGGGGCAGGTGCAGGCCCAAGGTTGATGTCAGGAATCATCAATAGCTTTCTCCTGATTCACTCAGGCAGTCTCAGTCAAACCCAGAGCTCACTGATATGACTAGTCTTGCTAGCCACCCTGCTCTCTGGGTCCCATCTAAGTGAGGGTTTCTGTTGCTGTGATGAAACACCATGACCAAAAGCAACTTGGGGAGGAAAGGGGATATTTCAGCTTACAGCCTTATAGTCCACCATTGAAGGAAGCCATGGCAGGAACCTGGAGGCAGGAGCTGAAGCAGAGGCCGTAGAAGAGCACTGCTTGCTGGCTTGCTCAGTCTGCCTTCTTTAGAACCCAGGACCACCTGCCCACAGTAAGCTGAGCCCTCCCGCATCAATCATTAATCAAAAAATTTAAAAAAAAAATCCCCAGAGGCTCATCTGGTGGGGACATTCTCTCAAGTGAGGTTCCTCCTTCTCAGATGACTCTACATCGTGTCAAAGTGACCAAAAATAGAACCCTAAAAGCTAGCACACTACCTCCATTGGCTGAGGCCGAAATTAAAGGGGTGGGCACAGTGCTCACCTGGCATTTATGTGGGTTCTGGGGGTCCAAACTCTAGTCTCACACTTACATAGCAAGGGATTTAACTACTGAGCTACCTCTCCAGCACTTGACCCTGGGTTGGTTTTTTTTGTTTTTTTTTAGACATTTTGAGTCTTTCACTCAACCTGAAGCTTGCCGTTTAGCCGAGGCTGGTTGGGAAGTGAGCCCCCGGGGGCCTCCTGTCTCCACCACCTGGCACTGGGTTATAGGCACACATAGCCACACCCAGTTTTTTATGTGGGGGATTTGAACTCTGGTCCTCATTATATAGCCAACACTGTGCCCACTGAACCGTCCTGCATCCTCAAGATGAGCTGGAGCCTCAGATTTGTACCTGTCATCGCCACTGCGCTCCAGTCAGGCCACGCAGAGCCGACTCCCCCTATCCATGGGAAGTGTCTCACAGATGGTTTACAAGCAATGCAGACTTTGTCCCCATAACTTGTCCTCACCCTTTGGACTGTGGCCACATAGGGCATGTCAAGCACACCCCTGCCCCAGGGCCTGTAAGGGTTGATGTTGATCACCAGCTTGACTGGATTTGGAATCACCTAGGACCCACACCACTGGCTGTGTCTTTGAAGCCATTTCCGTCTAGAGATGTTTAGGCGGGAAGACCCACCCTGAATTTTGGCGCAAAATGCAAAGTCCCACACTGAGTAAAGAGGCGAAAGCAAACTGAGCCATGCACCAGTATCCATTCATCTCTCTCCGTTCCCTGTCTACAATGTAAGCCTTCAGTTCACACACTCGGGCTGCTGTGCCTTTTCTGCCATGAGGGACTATGTCCCTTTAAGCCACAAGCTAAAATAAACGCTTCCACCCAGACTTGGGGCCCTGCTTAGCGGCCCCCTCCTGTCTGAGATCGCACCAAAGGCTGGTGGGATGGCTCATCAGGCAAATTTGCTTGCTGCCAAGCTCGAACAAATTCCATCACTGGGACTCACAAAGTGGAAGGAGGACTCCCTTCAAATTGTTATTTGACCTATACATATATATATACATACATACATACATACACACACACACACCATGACACATACATCTGCACTCACTAAATAAGCTACAGTTGCACAGAATTGCACCCCTCTGGAGGCAACAGTGCTGATCCCCCAAGCCAGAGTCTGCCCCTCTGGGTGGAGGCTTGTCCACAGTCAAGCTCAGGAAGAAGCTTGCAATGGTCTCTGGCTCCTCAAGTCCTCCACCCCCTGTTCAGCAGTCAGAAGGCTCTTTCTAGGGACATCAGCTATACCATTGCCTGTACTGCCCCTCCCACGCCCCCACCCCCACCCCTGCTCTCAAGTCCTCAAAGTCTGCCTCTGCCCCTCTGGGCCTTCCTGCCCTACAGTCCAGTGTCCAACATACCAATGTGTGAACAGAAAGAAGTCTTTATTGATAAATAAATTATGATTAAACATTGTGACAGTTAGAGAATAAAAAAAGCTCAGAGTTGCCATCTCCTCAATCCTGGCCCTAGCTACCAGCCTCGGCCTTCTTGCTGGGCACCTTGGATGAGGTCTTGGGGGGTAACCCAGGCCTTTTGGAGTTCTCGGGGGTCTTTGTTCTCCTGACCCTGTGTGTGGGTTGTGCTTTGCATGCCATGTCCTGGGGAGGAGCAGGTGCTTTGCTCTTGTGTACCGTCCTAGCCCCCTGAACAACTGTCTCAGTGTGGGCCGCAGCTGCCATCTTCCTTTTGGTAAGGGAAGCAACACTATTCTGGACCTGTAAGAAAGCAAGCCCAGTGGTAGGGAGATGCTCGCCAGTAGAGTGCTCACTTCATGAGCACAAAGACTTGAGCTCACCTCCCAGAACCCACAAAGCAAGCCTGGCAATACTTGAGACCCAGGGGGTAACAGGCACCTACCTACCTTGCTGGCCGAGGGCTCCGATTTCTCACACACATCTTTGGTTTTCCTATAGGCCTCTGCTTCTAGAAAATGGAGGGAGTGGTGAGGGGCAAAGGGTCCAGAGGCTCTAGAGTTCCCAGCCTGCCTAGGTCCCAGGTCATTGCCTGGACAACTGAAGGCCATGTGACCTAGGCCAGCTGCTTTACCCCTGAGTCTCAACAGGTCCCAATTTGGATAAGATGCTGTCCCTACGCAGCGTGGGAGCGTTGGAATTGGACTGCCTCCCCATGCAGGGAGCAGGAAGAGCTGCCCCATGAGCTTTGTCGCCTACCTGCTGATGGCGGTACTTCTATGTTTATTTACTTTTGCAGGAGGGTAGGTTTGGTTGAGACAGGTCTCATGCAGCCCAGGCTGATTTCAAACTTGATATAAACCTAAAGATGTAGCCTTGAGCTTCTGGTCCTCCTGCCTCTGCATCACCAAGTGCTAGGATTAAGGGTGTAGCCAGCTCCGTTGATTGTCTAGAGTTCTCACTCATTGCTTCCTGCCAGAACCCTTCCATAGCTGCTCACTGCCCTCAGGTGAGCCTAGACTCCCTTTTGCTAGTCAAAACTCCCTCGGACTTCTGACTGCATCCACTGACTCCGCTGCATACAATGACTGCATACACTGACTCCACTGCATACAATGACAGGCAGCTTTTTTTTTTTGTTTTTTTGTTTTGTTTTTTGGCAGATGCTTCTGGGGTGCCTCCTCCAGGAAGCCTTCCCTGACCCTGCCTCAGGGATGTGCTGGGCCCTGGCCTCTCTGGAACCCATCCACCCGCTCCCCGCCCCCACTTTATCCAGGTCTAACACTCAAGGCTGGCTCCCTAGAGAGGGAAGCCCCTCCCATCCTCCGCAGAGGCTGCTAGCAACCCCTGTCCCTGCCCATCATTCGCATACCTACCTTGCCTGCTCCCACTGCATCTGACATTCTGGCCTATCTTGTTGGCAGTGGGAGGGGCCCGTGTGGCTTTGTCTGGTTTTAGGGGGGCCTTTCTGACCTCTCCCAGTTTTGCCTTGCTGGCTTTCGTAGGTGCCTTCTCCAAGGTGGCTGCTGGGTAGGAACAAGCCTTCGTCTTCGGTCCTGGTTTTAGAACCACCTTTTCTATCTTGGTATTGCCAGCATGGTCTGTCTTCAGCTCCGTAGGTTTCTTGGGACCTGTCTTCTTGGCATCTGTGGCTCCCCTTCGGGCTATTGAGGAACAGGTTCTCTTTTTCTTGGACTTGGGAACTAGCTAAAGACAGAGTGTGGGGTTGTGGATGAGAACAGAAGTTCTGGGTATCCCTGTGCCTCACATGGGACACCACTGGGGCCATGTTCCCGATGACAGGATTGAGAAAGTGGTGGGATGAGGGGAGATGCACACACCTCTGTGGTCCTCACACATTGTGCCTGGTATTAATCTGGAGTGCCCCGCCACTTACTTCCAAGGATCTGACCTGCCCTCTACCTCTCACCCCCTTAGCCCCAAGCCTCACTCTGCCTCACCCTCTCTGCCCCTGCTGCCTGAAGCCCTGTCTCTCCTTGATTCTCCAAGAATACAGGCTGAGAGGGGAGATGGCCCAGTCCCCAGCTTCCCGCAGGCCTGTGCAACTGAGGCTCTGTCGAGCCGTCTGCCTCCCACACTCCAACCAGGCCCCAGCAGAGTTCCCGGTGTTGGGACTTCCCGAGGTGGGCACCACACGTGGTTAGTAGAGACTGTCCCATAGTCCCCTCTAGAAGCTACGGATCCGTGGCTACGTGGCAGACACGGGTAAGCCATACTCAGACCCTGATACTGGGCAGGCTTCCCAGACCACACAATATGGGCCAGCAGAAGGGCTGTGGAGGGGTGGGCTGGGGTGAGAAGCAGCACGTGCTAAGGGTCTGATGTTTACACCTTGCACCAAGGCCCCCCTCCCCTCCTTGTTTGTGGCTCACTTTGAAACTGCCAGTGGCACCCTTGGCCTTGGAGTTGGCAGGCCTGGTGAGGAGGCCTCGGCGCATGCCAGTGTCCAGGGCCCGCTTCAACAGGTACTTAAAGCGGGTGACATCCACTGTGGGGTACTTATGTAGGATGTAGAGCTTGATGGCTACAACTGACGTGCCCTGGCGCTTCTCCCTGGCCTGCAGAGCCTCCAGCACCATGCGGAGCATTGTCGGGTTCCGTCGGCCTACTAGGACTCTCCTGGGGTTTGGACCTGTAGGACAGACCGCAGGGCGTCACCCGGACTGCCCTCCACCTCAGTCAAGGCCTGACTGTGGAGGGGCAAAGCGCACACTAAGAACCAGCTCCGGGTCACTGGTTGCCAGTCTGCAAGCTTTCCACTGACCACTGGCCCTATGGGGCTCACCAAGTTCCTCTCCATGGGCGACAACAGCTGTCCATGGGCGACAACAGCTGTCCATGGGCTCAGAGAAGCAATCAGGAAGCTCAGTGAGACCCACTGAGCTCACATACAAGTCACCAAAAGAAAGGGGACCAGGACCCTGGGAACAAGAACACTGCGGAAGCAGCCTCTCGGACAAATGCTGCAGGGCCCTGTTTAGACTCAGGAGGACTCAAAACCACTACCCTGGAAATCCAGGCATGCTGGGGACACACCTGTCACCCCAGGACTCCAGACGCTGAGGTGAAAAGATTGCCATTTCCAGGCCTTAGCTTAGGGCTACCAAACGAGGTGGCACCTCAAAAATAAGATGTACACAAACAAAATCCAACTGGACAAAGAAACAAAGCGACCAAAGAGTCATAAATGCTGGGAGAAGAGCAGCGGCAGAGACGGTTCCGATTTGGGTGTGCTAACGGGGTCACGATTTGATTGTTTTTACAGCACTCGAGGTTTTGTGCACGCATGCCAGGCAAGTGCTCTGGTGCTGGGCTACACCCTAGGCCTGACATCACTTCTTAAAGGTCCCTAGCCTCTGGAAACAACCCTGGACTGTTCCCAGCTGAAATGCTGGGCCTGGCATGTGTCTGAGATAGCCTGGTAGGTGGGCAGAGCAGCCACAGCTGAGGACGGCTGAGCTTGATGGGCACAGGGGAGAACTCAGTTGCTCCTGCTTCTGCTCTCAGCCTAGCCAGACATTGGCATCATCTGTGGGTCCAGGATTCTGCAGCTGTAAAATCTTATGTCCACAGATGGGATGAGGGTGGAAGTGAAACTATCTGGGGCAAAGGGAACTGTGAGAAGCGGGGAGGGGAAGAGGATTCAGGGGAATATGCTCACACTCAAAGTATATATACTTGCTTAAAATGGCCTCATGGATGGATTAATGAAAGTATAAATAAAGGGAGCCAGCAAGCTGACTCAGCAGGTACAGGAGCTTGCTGCCAAGCCTGATGAGCTGAGTTCAATCCCTGGAACACACCGTAGAAGGAGAAAACCAGCTCCACAAGGTTGTCCTCTGTCCTCCATATGCATAAGTCTACACACACAGATAACTGGGGAAGGGGACTGAGACAGGGTCTTACTATGTAGCTCTCGCTGGTCTGGAATTCACTATGTAGACCAGGTTGGTTTTGAACTCAGATCCACCTGTCTCTGCCTCCCAAGTGTGTGCCATCATGCCCAGCTTACACAAATAATCTTTTAAAGGAAACTTATTTTCTGAAAAGATAAAGTAGAAACAATCACATTCCTAGAAATATGTGCCCCCAAAAGTGAAAATGTAAGTAAAGACTGGTGCATGAGGGTGAAGAGGAGGGCCACAGTGGTAGATAGATGCTGAGTGTGCATCAGGCCCAGGGCTCCGTCCCTAGCCCGCCAGCAGTGTGCATGAGTGTTTATTCCTAAGAGCCCAAACGTGGGAGCAACTCAAATGCCTGTGACCACACATGTAGACACATTGGAATACTACATGGCCATAAAGGGGACTGGCCTGTAAGCTGCTACAACAGGAAATGCTTCTAAATATAAGCAAGCAAAAAAGCCAGTCTCGCCGGGCGGTGGTGGCGCACGCCTTTAATCCCAGCACTCGGGAGCCAGAGCCAGGCGGATCTCTGTGAGTTCGAGGCCAGCCTGGGCTACCAAGTGAGTTCCAGGAAAGGCGCAAAGCTACACAGAGAAACCCTGTCTCAAAAAACCAAAAAAAAAAAAAAAAAAAAAAAAAAAAAAAGCCAGTCTCAAAGCTGTGTACGGGATGACGCAAGCCCACAAACACAGGTGCAGTGAGGCTGGGGAGTGGTTGCTAAGAGCTACAGCTCAGCTTTTCTTCTTAGGAAGTGACTGAATTCTAAAACAGGATGTGGTACTGGATACACAGGATGACATACTAAAGGTCGCCGCATGCTGAACATGGGGGAGCCATGCAGTACAGGAATCTTTTGAAATGGGTTGTTTCTTTTGATGAGCTGTAGCGGAGAGGAAAAGAGAAGTGGGGGAGGACCCTACCAGCCACAGGTGCATGATTTAAACTCAGAAATGATGTTATCAAAATGATTTGCAAAATTCAGACTCAAAAGCAAGTTTTTAAGTAGGAAGAAAAAGCCAGATGGAACTACAAGCCGCTAAGGACTCCTACAGCCCGGCCACTGGCAGCCTGCACATGGAGTCTTCGTGGAGAGTCCCAAACCAGGAGATGGGGCTATCCAGCTGTGCCCCCAGGACCATTGCCTCCATGACCGGGTCCCCCATCTGTGTGGTGGGAATTGGTCTCTCTAGCTGCATGCGCCTTCCCAGCTCTTGACACTCAGCTTCCAGGGACCTTAGCCTAAACTGGACAGAATTCCACTCCCGTTTACCTGGTTTGTGAGTCTCATGGAGCTCAGGTGACCCAGAAGGTGACGTGTCCCTAGAGGGAGAGGAGGAGAAAGAAGAACTGGAGACACTTCCTGGGGCCATGGCACAGACAGCGGCAGGCCTGGCGCTCACTCAGCTACCAGCTGCCAGACCTCTTGCCTTAAATACCTCTCACTGCCGGCGAACCAATGACCAACCCGCTCACCACCTGAACAGTGGATAAGGCCAATCTGGCCTGGAGAGGGAGGCTCATTCTCCAAACAGATCATCCTGCCTCGGCCTTGTGGGACCTGAGGCCAAGCGAAAATAAGGAGATGGAGTCACTGTATCCTACCTAGCTGGTGGTGCTGGCAGTGAATGGGGGACACCCAAGTTGTGGAGGTGCCCACAAGGGTCTCCTAATCCCACCAAGTGGGCAGGGGGCTGTCTGCCCTGTTCCCAAATAACTGCTGGCCTCAGTTTTTCACTTAGTAGCAACTGGGCCCACAGGACGTGATTGCTTGGAGGCAGTGGCCTCCCCTGGGCAAGGAAGGCTCTCAGTCTGCTCCTTCCTTCTGTGTGATTCTGATGTTTTAGATTATATTACAGTTTGAGATGCAGGAGGAGGTTGTGACAAGCTCTCATGTTGCCTCGGCTGATGGCCACTGTCCTCAGTGTCCTTGGCATTCAAAGACACTCACATTGGGACAGGCATAAGTCACTGTTTCCATCATACTCCCAAACACTGGAACACTGGCCAGGATGACAGAGCCAACCATCTGCCCTGCCAGGGCTGTGACTTGGGAAAGGGTCCCCCTAAGCCTGGCCACTCCACCTCTCTCCTAGGAAGGGCTGTGTCATCTAGAAGAATGAAAAAGAGCAGCAACTTTGCCGTGAATCACACAGGCCTGAGTATATTGCTCCCCTGCTGTAAAACACGCTACAGTCTATATGCCAAGGTCTTATACAGACTGGATGGCTGATGTCTGTTGTTCCAACGCTGAGGACACTGAGGCTAGGGAGTTTGAGGCTAGCCTGGGCTACATAGCAAACCCCTGACTCAGAGAGTCAAACCAAACAGAAACAAGAGAGAGTGGATCGAAACAAGCTGTGTCGCTGTCCTGGCTGAATGTCAGTATTTCTCGTATGAAATATGAGGCAAGCATTTCTCACAGTGACTGTCAAGGATGCATGGAAACTACACAGGAGCTGGGGGAGGCTGACGGGTCAGCCATCTCAGATGTGATTCGACATCTTCAGGAGCAAAGATGAACTTGCCCCATGGTGCACCCACCCCTCCCTGGGGAGAAACAGGGGACCTTACACACAGGGACTTTGCCCCAGAATCAGCAGAAATTCAAGGCAAAGTGAAATCTTTTCAGGTAGAAGCAGGCTAAGTCAGTTGTGGCCTGTTCGCAATGGAATGGCCCACAGCTGTGAAAAACGAGGAGGCCATCCTGTAAGCAGGTCTCCCAGGACTCAATCCAGTGTGGTATCAGCAATTACCTTGGGGGAGGGGAAGGTCAGATGATGGTTTAAAGTAGACCTACATATGCCTCCCTCTGCGTGTGATCTCTTTATTTTCTGGGATTTCCCCAGAGAGCTCACCATCATCACAGGTCTGGTTTGAGAAAGGCGGTGGCCCTCAACGTTCTTTGCAATGAAAACATATCTCACTCCGTTTCTAGAACCTTCCATGGCTCCCTACTTCCTTTGGGGAAAAGTTTGAGTTTTTCATCAGGTTCATGGTGCTCTCCTCTCCCTGAAATTCCACAATTCAGCCACACTGCCGGTAGGGCTGGGGTTGTGGCTTAGTGGTTGAGTGGGGACTGAGCATCCCTGAGACTCTGGGTTCAACTTTCAGTAACAAACTTTTTAAAACTCCCACCGTGTGGCCTTTGAATAGGGTATGACTAATACCAGGACTTCGTGCTTTGTGCTTCTTCTATGTCAAACTAATGTACAGATGGTATGGAGTTTCTATCTCTGTCCTCATCTACCCCACATGTAATGAGGCTTTGTAGTGCTCAGCCATAGATCAGTGCTAGCCTTGTGCAGCTGAGATACCGTGAGAATGGTGCTGTCCTGTTCCCATTGCCATGGGAGCAAGTCCTGGCTAGTTTGTTGGATGCTGAGACCCATGGTCCAGTCACTTGTCACCCAGCCACCAGTCAGTCATCAGCCAATCCCTCACTTGACCATGGGATGCTTGAAAGATCCCCAGAAGAGATGGTCGAAGCTAGATCCCCACCAGCAGAATCACCCAGCTAGTCCCTAGAGCTAGAAGACAGGATATGTGATTCGTTGTTTTAAGCTGTGAATTCTGGGAGTGTTTGTCACACAGCACAAGGTTGCTGCTACATTAGGCCTAGAAAGCCCCCTTTATTCCTCCCTACCTTCTCTGGAATATGTCTTCCTCACTCAAGTAAGTAAGGCTTGCTCAGGAATGCCACCTCTGATCCCTAGAAGATCAGAGTCACCAACTCTTAAGCCTCCAGCACTCTGAGTCACAGCTGGGACTTATGGGCCTCTGACTCTTGAGCTCTGTGGTGGAGGAGGGCTGTCTGTGGCACCCAGCCCAACACTGGCACACAGTAGGTCCTCCAGTCTTGCCGCTGTGGTTTTGTGGCTCCACTGAGTGAACAGAGACCTGCAAATTGCTGCTGGCCCCGGACTAGACAGGGAAAGGGTTCCAGGGAGGCAAAGAGGCAAACGGGAGCTGGCACCAATGGGGGCTGCAATTTTGATCCATTTGCGGGGCGTTTCCAAGAACTGAGAAATGCAGAGACTCTGTGGTGTAAACATTCCCACGAGCTCTGCTGAAACCCTGCTCCCAGGCTGTGCCAGGAGCGAGTTTTGTGTTGGGAAGGAAGTTTGGGAAAAACTCAGCGATCTAAAAATTCTCCGAGGGGTTTGCCACTTGACAGGGAGATGATGGCAAGTTGGGACTGCAGCGGAAGCAGCGCCCTCTGCCAACCTCCTGACTTCTCCGTGGGGCCGGCAGTGAGGTGTTGCCTTCCTTCTGGAACCTTCTCCTCCCACCCGCCCTGGGACTTGCTCCAGCTTCAGAGATAAATGTCCTGAACTCTGAGATGATCCGAGTGCCCCTGCTTTGTACGGTGCCAGCTCCTGCACCATCAGGACATTGGAGCATTTATTCCCTAACTCCGGTCCATCAGTGCGTCAGGTTGCAGTGAAATTTCAGCCACTGCCATGCCTGATGTCTGTATAAACTGGCCTCTTCATCATTTTATTTACACATGAAGAGGCTGAAGTTCTGAGTGGGCAAGCCCTTGGATCTTCCCAAGCTCCTCTGTGCTACTCAAGAAAGGTGCGGTGATTCCCAAATAACCATTCCTTCTCGAAGCCATCCATCCCTTCAGAAGCTCTTTAAGTCACCCTGGCTGGCGAGGATTCAACTGGAGGCAGCTCCAGGGGAGCCTGGCCCTCTCTTCACCCTCTGCACTTGTTGCTACCTAGGGTCCATTTCATGATTCAGCATGGCTGTGGCTAGTCCGGTCACTATGACCACATTTCAGCCAGCAAGACAGAAAACAGAGAAAAGCGGAGGGCGCTTCCATTCTGTGAAATGCACAACTCAGAGTTTGCATGCTTCTGAGCCTTGCAGACGAGAGGGAAGCCCAGCTAGAACTTAAGAGATCACCAACAGAAGGGGCGGGGGAGAGGCTAGAGCCCTAGCACTCCTTTCCTGGGACCTCCATCAAGCTCATCTCTGCACACGAGACCCTCCACCGAGGCTGCTTCCTCTGGACCCTGGCCTCACCCCTGGGAGGGAAGCCGTGTGCATTGAACAACGGCTGTATGAAGTGTCATTCACATTGATATTTCCTTGATCCTTCTGACCCCCGGTTCTTAGGCTGTGGGTCTCAAGCCCACACAGGGTCCTGCCCTTGAATGTGGTGGTAACAGAACTTTGAGAACAGTAAAAAGGTTTCTGAACACACAACGATCAAAAAGTAATTCAAGGGCAGGTAAGACGGCTCAGCCGGAAAGGGCACTTCAACCTGATGAGCTGCGTTCCAACCCTGGGACCCGCATGACAGAAGAGAACTGACTTCTAAAAGCTATCCTCTGACATCCCCATTCACACTGGGGCACGCATGTGTTCCCCCTCCCCTGACAGGTATGATAAACAAAATGTGATTAAAAAAAATTTTTTGCATTAACTCAAAATCAGACGTGTGAATCTGAGGTGTGTTAGACGTGCTCACTAGTGTTACATCACGTGTCTTCACAAAGCCTCGTGCACGCTGCACTGCGCATGCCTTCGCACCATGCGGCACCAACAAACTGCCCGGAACACAGCTCAGATTCCAGACTATTGGATGTTGTGAACCCCAGGGTTTTGTTTGCTTGTTTTTGCTGTACACAGTGTTCTGTGTTGTTGGAACATAATAGTTGAATTGCAGAAAACAAAGACATTTAATATTTTCCCACCATCATCCTTCAGCACGTAAGGGTCAAATTAATCTATTTTGGGGTTGCATTGTGTTAGAATGTTTGATCTTAAAAACTTCTGTTTGAATCGCTGACTTGAGTTTCGGATATAAACCATTCACTTGGGAGCTGGGGTGATGTCTTCATCAGTACTGTAATTGCTGTGCAAGGATGAGGACCTAAGTTCGGAACTCCAGGACCCATTAAAAGCTGGGGTGACTCCCATCTGTAACCCCAGCTTCTCTTCGTTTATACACACAGGTGATAGCATCTCCACATGTACATGTATACACAGGCATATGTGTGAGCATGCACACGCACACACATGTGCACGCGTGCACACACACTGTTCAGTAAAATTTTGGACTGGGATAAGGAAACAATTTCCAACAATTTTTGAAACAGCCTAGATGTACTTCTGTCATGTGATACTATGTATTTATGCAAAGAGGCATTCTCAGCATCGATGATTATAAAATCAAAATATCAACCAGCTCTGAGGAACGTTGTAGATGCTGTGTCCTACATCACTAAATATTCAGCCAAGATCTAATTCCTTATGAAAAAGTAAGCACACCCATCTCATTAGAATGCAAATTTATTTTAATCTTTAATCAATTGTAAAATTGCATATATACCAAAGACTTATTTTACAGTAAGTTTCTTTATGATTATCAGTAGGTATTTGACTTTTAGTGCTCCTATTTGATTCCCTATATATCTGGGGTCACACCCAATGTTTTCGAAGGTAAAGGGACCATGGATGGACACAGTTACAGAGACTCTCTCACCCTCTACCAGCTGAGATGTATCTCACTTTCAGCTCAGAGTCATGGCCTGGGTAGTCCAGGGACTTGCCCTGGGACTGGCACTATGTTTCTCTGGGGCACCCCAGGCTATCTGAGGTGGTGTCTCTTTACTGGGGTGACAGCCCTGTCTGGCCTGTGATAGGCTGAGTGGATTGCATGCCCCACAAATGCTGCTTGTCTAGAGCCTGGCAAGTGGTCCTGTGGGAACTCCACATCCCAGCCTGGGTCAGCAGCCCTTCACCCTATACCCACAGTGACAAGTGACAAGGAGAGAGCTGAGGCTGCTTTTCACCATGACAACAAGAGTATTTTTCCTAGAGAGGAGAAAGCAGGGGCAAAGGTGACACTCCACAGAACAAATGAACTGGGCGTGGAAGAGTGAGGTAGGACAAGACCAGGCAACTCAAGTGTCCCATCAACAGCCACCCCTAACCGTAAATCACGGGAAACAGCCAGAGCTGTGGCAGCCATGGTAATACCCCACACATCACACACAGGAGCCTTGTCTAGCACCTCCCAGCCCCCATCCCTCTGTGTTGGTCCTGATCCTGTTCCCCTTGTTTCTTTTTGGGGAACACATCCTATAGACTTCTTAATATGTGAAGTCAACTTCATCTTGTGGTATTGGAAAACATGACAATTGAGGGACCCCTATATCAGGCATAGTGATTGGCTTAGAGGTGATCAGGTGACCCAGGTCTAGTCAATCAGAAGATGAATCTCCATCTCCGGCATGATGATTGACTTAGAGGTAATCAGGTGACTCAGCTCTGGCCAATCAAGATGAAGCTCTATCTTAGACATGCTGATTGGCTTAGGGATAATCAGGTGAACTAGATCTGCCCAATAAGAACCTGATCTGACACCATGGTTATAATAAGGGGCAGGAAAGCTTCTTTCTGGAGGGATTGCTGGCCCTAGAACTGCAGACAATTCTGCCACTTCTAGGGATAGGCCTGTGAGTAAAGTCAACACAGAAGAGAGACACAAAGGTCACAGGTTTGAGTTTCTACATCCAGCCAGCCTGAAGTGGAGGGGAGGTGGTTTCATGTCTACAAGCCAATGAGATCATTCTCTGTTTCAGCAGTTGGTTTGGATTTCCTGTCACTTGTGACCAAATGAACCCTCACTGATATCACCTATTGAGACAGCATAGAAGATAACCCTTTACTGTCCCCTGCCCTTGGCCACCACAGCACTGAGGGGCTTCCATCCCAGGCCCTGGCACTCTTTCCTCCTTGGAGGAATTGTCACTCCACATCTGAGGCTCTGTCCCATTCCCTTGCTAGGTGGGGTTGTCCTGGTAAGGGCAGCTCTGAGCCAAGGCCTAGAATTCCAGAGTGTACCAACATCTTCAGCATGCCAGGAAGTGGGCTGGCCACATAAGTCCCTTAGCTCTAATCTAATCCCTTCAAGGGCAGGTCTAAGCTCTTCTTTGCAGATACAGAGGCTTAAAGTTAAAGAGGTCACCATGTCTCTATCCCACCCAAGTTGAGTTTCTCAGATTGATGAGGCTGCTCTATCACATTCTCTAGGGACCTGGACTTCTGTCCCAACACAGTCTAGCCCTCTCTGGACAGGGATCACAGAAGCTTCCCAGTTTCCATTCATTTTGTAAGTAAAGAGCTTGAGAGCAACAGACCACCACTGCCACCGAGTGAGGAGCTGAGCTTTTAATGCCCCCCTTTGCCTCCATCCCCAGGCAGAACTGGGCCTGCTGGGGGCCCAGCTGTGGTTCTGTGGAGGAGGGATGCAGACTGAAGCTGCTCAATTCTAGTGCCCCCAGTGTTCCTGTTGACCTCAAACCGAGACTCTCTGGGATGAAGAAAACACCAAATGCCAAGGAAAACAGTATATCCAGCAAGGGAGCTAGGAACCGGATTCATGAGCATTCTAGGGAGGAGGTCTGGCCAGGTCTCACACTGTGTTTCTGAGCTCTTCTGAACAAGGATGTCATCAGGAACTAAGCCATTTCTTGAGGGTGGCAGATAAGCATGGCTTCTAGAACTCCATACTGGCCTGGAACTGTTGCTACCTGGTTGCTGGTGTGGAAGAGCAAATGTGTCCAGAAGCCAAGAAGGGCTGGGTCTCAGGCCAAGTAGGATTGGAAGACATGAACCAAGGATGCCACACTGGAGGAAAGAGCCAGGCCTTGTCTGAGACCCTGGCCACAATGCTTTCTCAGTCCTAATAGCTGTAGCCCACATTGCTGTTATTGCCATCTCTGTGATCCAGCTCCAGCCCCGTGCAGGCCTGAAGGCCTAGGTCACTGGTAAAAGTCTACTGGGGCTGGGGGAAACACCCTGACTGAGTGCTTGGGCCCAGCCAATTCCCAAGCAGTCAGTAACAAGCAGAGACTATCAGGATGGTTAATTAATTGATATTATTTGTAATGCAACTACCAGCTGTGCTGTTTATATACAAAGTATTTGCACACATACACACACACACATACAGGCACATACATTCTCTCCCTTTCTCTCTCTCCCTCCTTCCTTCCCTCTCCCCGTCTCCATCTCTCTGTCTTTGAAGCAGCCAAATGCTATCAGGGCCTGGGATTTGGGATTTCCATATGGGAATTGGGGGAGAAAACCAGGGTAGGGGTGTAAGAACAATTGCCTATAGATTCCAGCCAAACATGACTGGATCTGCCAGGTTGGGCGCCTGAGGACATACATGTTCCCCTCCATCAATCCTCTCACACACATTTCCACTCATTCAGTGATTCATTCCTCCCTTCATCCAGCTACCATTTATTAATCAGCTACTGTGTGCTCCATTCTGTCCTAGACACTTAGCCCTAAGCTGGGACACTTGCCACGTTTTTGAGAGACAAGCTAGGGGGAAGGGTTACAGATCCCACTGGCCCCTGGGAATTGGGAACTCCAGGTTGGGGGTCTTAGTGAATGGATGTCCTTTCTTGGGCTGTTCCTGTTTAGTGGGGAGCCTCAGTTTTCTGTCATAAATCGATTAAAAACAGTGAAAAAAAAAAAAAACACTGAGGGAGTCCGCATGACCTCATTCCAACGGGTGCTGCTCCTGGTGGGGCCTGTGGCTGGGGTGGGTTGGGACAGGAGACTCCTACAGTCAGCCACAGTCTCTGGCCAGGCTTAAGCTGGGGCCACCTGGCTGGTCTCCGTCTTGGAGGCAGTGGCAGACGCCTCATCATCACCCAGGGGATTCTTGCCACAGCAGAGGGTAGTGAGCATGCAGTTCCGGAACTGGAAGGCAGAGGGTGCCAGTCAGGACTAGGCCCCACCACCCTGCCCATCTTCAGCCCACCACCCACAGCATGTCCCCTCACTAAGTCTGGCTCCTTGGGGGAGCTTGCTAAGTGTATGCTGCCCCACCACCAGAGATGCCAGGAACCCAGCAACAAGGGTTTTCATCAAATGATATTCCACAGTGTCCTGTGAATGCTTAGGACCTTCTGTGACTGATCTCTTGTAATTAGGATTTGGCCCTTCCCTGTAAATAGAAAAACCAAAGCCCAGAGAGGGAGACATCTGACTCCCTAGGTCACAAAGTCTGAATGTGGCAGAGCTAGGACATGAACCCAGAGTCTAAGTCCAGAGACCACATCCTTTCCTGCAGAGAGGCTTGGTTTTTAACAGCGGCTTGTTCCCTCATCTCCCGGTTCTAACATTTTTAGCAACTTCTTCAGCTTTGCAAACAGTGAAATCATTCCATTCCCAGTCTTGTAACTACTTGACATTTTCTGGTTGTATTTTGAGACAGACTCCATGCAGCCCAGGTTGACCGCCAGATCACTGTATGGTCTAAGATAGCTTTGAACTTCTGACCTGCCTGCTTCAGTCTCCCGAATGCTGGGGTATGGAGGTGCACGACCACACCCTGTTTTGGAGGTGGGGGATACACATCACCATGTAGCCCAGGCTGACCTGGATTTCAGGATCCGCCTGCCTCGGTGTTTAGATTACGGGTGTGTGCCTGATTCTGGCTGACTTGCAAAGCAGACTTCCAGAATGATTGGCCAGATGTATTTCACAGGAGCAGGTGCCAGGCCACCTGGAGGGCTTACTCCCAGGTTACCCAGAGACTGGGAGGTCGCCGACCTGAGAGCTCACAGCCTGCCAGCGGTCTCGGCAGAGCCTCTCTCCTGCCCCATCCCCTCCCCTCCCCTCCTTCCCCTCACTCCCCACCCCCACCCGGCCATCCCAGGTACCTGTTTATTCATCATGATGTAAATCACCGGGTTGTAGATGGAGGAGCTTTTGGCAAAGAAAGCCGGCAGGGTCATGAAGATGGGGCCAAAGTTGGAGCCTTGGTGGGTGAAGATGTAGAAGGCCACACTAGCGTAAGGAAGCCAGCAGATCAGGAAGAAGATGACCATGAGGATGACCATGCGGGTGACTTCTTTTTCTGCCTTCTGCGTGGTGGCTGATTCCTGCTGCTGGGCAGCCGCCTATAGGGGTACAGACCTGTGTCTAGCCCGGGGGTCCACACATACCTTGGCACCCAGCTCTGGCCACCCAGCACGGTCCTAGGGACACACACTGAGGCCCCCACTCATACCTCCTTGACTGTGAAAACCAGTTGCCCATAGCAGAAGAAGATGACGATCATAGGGATGGTGAAGTGGACCACAAACATGTAGATGACGAAGGACTCATTGTTGACCTCGGGCTTGAGCGTATAGTAGTCAATCCCACACGAGCACTGCATGCCCTCGGGGATGTACCTGAGGGTCAGTGCAAGGGACAATAGGGTTGGAAGGGAACACACGCTCAGCTGGGCCTAAGTGTGAGGTCCATGGAGGCTGGAGCTCCTGCAGGCCTTGGGAAGCATGGTATCGTTATTACCTGCTGGCCCCATCGCCAGGTGAGACTTATCCGTCTCTGCCCTGAGGGTGACTCTCAAGCTTCCTGCCACTTGACCACACCGCTCTTTTCCACCAGCCTGCTGCCCTTTGGTGGTTTAAGTGAGTTGGCAGAGGGTGCTGGGGAGGAGGGCTGAGGCCTATCCTGTAAATGCAGCAGTTTGAAGATGTGCGTCTCCTAGCAACAGCAACGCGTTCTACACTCAGGATGGACTTGCTACCATCTACGGGACTTTGGGCAGCTTCTAGAAACAAGGATGTTGTAATCGTGTCTGAGGATGGTGACACTGGGCTGCACTCAGAAACCCTAGACTGTCCGTTGAGTTTATGTGTACAGGCTTGCCGAGCCAAGTGCATGAAGATGTGGAAAGAGCAGCATGGGGTGATGGGCTCTGATTCAGCAAGGACCTCTAGGTGGGCTCCCAGAGGATGGGGAAGAGATATGAGGAGAGAAGGGAGATCTGAGGCTTCTGGGTACCAAACCACTATCCCTACCCTATCTTATCTTGCCTACATTTGGAGATGGTGACCTAGAGGTTGGATGGGACCCAGCTCCTGAGGCTACAATGACACCATGCATGTTGGGAAGGTTCAGCTTCCCATGGTGCTGAGGCCCAAGGTCAGAGAAAGCTGCCCCATGCCCAGGAGAACTCAACCAAAGAGGATTGTAGTTGGGCCTTGGCTTAGCTGAGGATTAGGGACTCGGCCAAGGTGAAGGGTTGGGGTGTCCAGGGTTCCCCTTGCCATGGGTCTCAGAGTTAAAATCAGACTTGTTGTACCACGACTTCTCCTTCTTTCTCCCCGCCTAGACCTTGCTTGGTCTGGGAAAGTTACCAGGATAGTTTTAGGGGCAAGACTGTGTAATATAAGGGAACCAGCCCACAGGCTCTGTGTTCCGAATGGGAATCCCACGAAGGCCTTGCTAGACCCAACGCTCAGTGCCATTACCTGGACCAGCCGACGAGTGGGGGAGCAGCACAGGCCAACGCCATGACCCAGGTGAAGGCCACACCCATAATGGCATGGTTCTCTCCGAAGCGGAAGTTGCTCATGGGCTTGCAGACCACTACATACCGCTCAATAGCCAGGACCACCAGGGACCACAGGGCGATTTCACCTGTAAGGTAGTTGATAGCCATCAGTCCTCCAGCTCTGACCTCAGACCAGAGAGAGCTAATAACCCCAGAGAAGACAGCGTGGAAGCCTCTGCACTGGACTTGAGTCAGGCCTTAGAGATGCAGTGAGTTTGGACTAGCCAGGAAGACGGAGGCGGATGAAGAATCCATGTGCCAGAGGAAGTGAGCAAAGGAACTCTAAAGAACCAAGAGCCTTTCCGTTTGGTTAGAGCTTTCAGATCATGAGAGACACTGCCACAGAAGGGCTGGACCTGTGGCTTCAGGCCACTCACTGGCTAGTGCTTTAGCAGGGAGAGAAGTAATGGAGTGCTACCAACAAGAATTTCTGGATGACAGGTGTGGCCTGGGCCTGACCCCGTGAGACAAGCTGACAAGCATGGCACCCTAGTTTGTCCAGAGACTGGGGGGCTGTGATCACAGACGGTAAGAGAGATGCCCAACCGTGCCACCAAGGCAGCAACCTGGGCAAGGGGGGGATAAGACAGCGTCCTTGGGACTTGTACAAGCTAGACCTGGCTTTGGGCTTTGTCATGCCCACTTCTCCCGTTTCCTCTTACATCTACTGGCGACATCCCTGGGTCCCAGTTGGGGCACCCCGACTCTGATTCTGGCCCTGCCACATCTCTAAATGTGTCTTTTGCTGCTCCCTGCCTCAGCTTCCTCAGCTCAACAGGCTCCATTGTTTCTGTGACAGCCTCATTGATTTTCCAGCCAAGTGAGAGAAAATGTTTGGAAACACCTGGTGTGGCAAGGCGGTCCACGCCTGTGATCCCAGCACTTGAGAAGCTGAGGCAGGAGGATCAGGAGTTCAAGTGCATCCTCAGTCACATAGTTTAAGGCCATCTGGACTACAAGACTGTACCCCTTCCCCAAAGGTAGAAAGAAAAAGAACAGAAACAAATGAATCCTCTGAGATTCCCATTGTATGGAGCAGGCACGTATGGTGGAGGCCAACAGGGTTGGAAAGGCAGTCACATAGATGCCCAGTACACTGATCCAATCGTCACCTGGACCAGAGACACTCATGAAGGACCTGGACCTGTGTGCCTTTTCTAGCTCATCCTGGTGCTCAGTCTGAGTCTGCCCCAGCTCAGCTGCCTCATAGGATACCCTCACACACCATGGCTCCCCAGTGAGCCCTTGACCTCTCTAAACCCATGTTTCTTGCATTACTCCAAAGGAGACAGATGAGCGTTCAATGTTTGCTCTAAACAGCAGCCTAGCTCAGCATCACAGTGTTGTCAATGAATAAACAAGGCCTTGGGACGACAGTGATTGAAGAGGAGTGGGAGAGAGACCCACTAGACCCCACTGCAGACCCTCCCTAGGCCCTTTCATGCCCCCTTGGCTCCCATACTACACCCCAGTCCCTCTGCTCATACCACCCAGTGTGGCGAAGAAGCCCTCCATGTTGCATCCCGTGGGCCCAAAGACGAAGTAGCCGTGCAGTGAGGTGTAGAGCGTGGTGGTGAATCCTCCGAAGACCATGAAAAGATCAGCCACGGCCAAGTTGAGCAGGATGTAGTTGAGCGGTGTGCGTAGCTTCTTGTGCTGTACGGTGACGTAGAGCGTGAGGAAGTTGATGGGGAAGCCCAGCACGATGAGCAGGAACATGTAAGCTGCCAGCATGGAGAACTGCCAGGGTTCAGCCAGGTAGTACTGTGGGTGCTCAAAGGGGCTGCGCACCACACCTGTGATGTTGGAGAAGGGCACATAGAAATCGGGGCCCTCCGGAACTCACCTACCCCATCCCTTCCCAATCCCCTGGCCCTGGCACTAGCTCATTTGTTCATGGCTGCGGCCCTCGGGCTGTTCGTCAACAGAGACCGAGGCTGCCTGGCGAGCTCAGCCACCTACAGCTCCCACAGCACAACTCCAGGCATCAACCCCCCCCAGACCCTTATAAAGTGACCTTCTCTCCCTAAGCCAGGGGCTGATTCAGCATCTGGGAGATATCATACTAAGAATACTAATCCCACTGCTGCTACTGGGGCCTAATTAGCTTGCAGCGGGGCCAAGGTGACACCAGGTGGAGGCCCTTGAGTAAAGGAAGAGTGTCTCATCTTGTCTTCCCCAGAGTCCCCCAGGAATTTTCTACCCATGTCAGTCTGGTGGCCTCAGGCTGTGACTGGGGTCTTAGGACCCTAAGTCCATTTCTCTGTGTTACTACTGACTTCCTGAACTCACCTACCCCATCCCTTCCCAATCCCCTGGCCCTGGCACTAGCTCATTTGGACAGATCTGAGCACAGTCAGCTTGGTCCATTACCACCCATCTCACCCCACCCCACCCGAGGCTCAGCAGCTCGATAACGATTTGTTGCATTCAATTGGAATTTGCTCACTCACTTGTTCATTAAACATTTATGAGCCAGCCACCTGGGAGATCAAGAAGGAGGCCATGGCCCTGCTCAGAGTGCTTCTGGCCTGAGTAAGACTCAGCCAGAGGAAGAAACACATTCCAGTCCAGGGAGGGATGACCATGGGCTATGGAGATGGGGATAGCCTGCTCAGGTGGGGCAGGACATGGACCCCGCTGCCAGGTTATTTAGGTGAGTGCGTGGGGCCTGGAGGTCATGGCAAGGGCCTAAGAAGTTTTGCCTTATCTAGAAAGCAACGGCCATACAGCTGGGTGAATCCCAGGGGCAGAGAGGATGACCAGAGACCTGGGGCTTCAGGGCTTCAGAACCCTGTGCAGGCTGAGAGATGCTGGTACTGGTCTGCTGGGGATGCCAATCTGGGGAGAGGCTGGTCCTGGACTAGCCTGGTGTCTGAGGATATGAGGCCAGCATCTCTGCCATGTAGCTGGGGTTCCCGGAGGCCCCCATGTATAGGTTACTCTAGGACCACTGTCCAGTTGGCACGTGCCTGGAGTACCCACTAAGTCCCAGGCAAGGGGTTTCATCCTGGGGGCCCACAGGAGACAAGAAAGCACGGGCTGCAAGAAGCTATCACCCCATGAGGGAGATGGTGGTGAGTAGCCCTTATGAGGGCTAGACAAAGAACAGAAGGAAAGTTCCCACTATGCAGAAGTCAGACCATGCAGCTTCTGAAGACTGCTCTGAGAAAGTGAGGGTTAAGAACTGATTGATGATGGGAGAAAACACCATGCCACTTGCCACACAGGTACCCAGGCCCTGGAGCTGGGTAGGAGCCTGGTCAGGGAAGTGTTCGCCTCTGAGCCTCAGGGCCCTTAAGCTCTCTCTTGCTCAGTCTCTTCACACCTGGGATTCCTAGATCTGTCTGCTCAGGAAAGCAACCCCGTTTCCTGCAGGTCCCGATTGGAGAAGAGGAACACAGCACTGGCATGTATGTCAAGGGCTGGGAGCTGGCCTCTAGCAGTTGAAGGAGCTTGGCTTGGTGATTAAGACCAATGTTAATGAGGTCAAGGTGGAGGCTTTGATTCTGACATGACCCTGGTGGTCACCCCCAGTTCTCCCCTGACCCCACCCAGCTCAGCAGCACCTCAGCAGCCTTGGCAGCCAGCTCGTGCTGGGGACAGCTGGGAAGCTGTCTTCAGGGGCTTTGCCCATCCCCTGGGCTCTAATGTGAACCTGCAGGGCAGACTGGACACAGTAGGAGCTTGGTAAACACCTGCTGACCCAGTGAGTGGGTGGGTGAGTGAGTGGGTGAGTGAGTGAGTGAGTGAGTGGGTGAGTGAATGGGTGAGTGAGTGGGTGAGTGAGTGGGTGAGTGAGTGAGTGAGTGAGTGGGTGAGTGAGTGAGTGAGTGGGTGAGTGAGTGGGTGAGTGAGTGAGTGAGTGGGTGAGTGAATGGGTGAGTGAGTGGGTGAGTGAGTGGGTGAGTGAATGGGTGAGTGAGTGAGTGGGTGAGTGAGTGGGTGAGTGAGTGAGTGGGTGAGTGAGTGGGTGAGTGAGTGGGTGGGTGAGTGAGTGGGTGAGTGAGTGGGTGGGTGAGTGGGTGGGTGAGTGAGTGGGTGAGTGAATGGGTGAGTGAGTGGGTGGGTGAGTGAGTGAGTGGGTGAGTGGGTGGGTGGGTGAGTGAGTGGGTGAGTGAGTGGATGGGTGAGTGGGTGGGTGAGTGAGTGAGTGGGTGAGTGAGTGGGTGAGTGAGTGGGTGGGTGAGTGGGTGGGTGAGTGAGTGGGTGAGTGAGTGGGTGGGTGGGTGAGTGAGTGAGTGGGTGAGTGAGTGAGTGAGTGGGTAGGTGGGTGAGTGAGTGAGTAGGTGGGTGAGTGAGTGAGTGGGTGAGTGAGTGGGTAGGTGGATGAGTGAGTGAGTGAGTGGGTGAGTGAGTGGGTGAGTGAGTGGGTGAGTGGGTAGGTGGGTGAGTGAGTGGGTGAGTGAGTGGGTGGGTGAGTGAGTGAGTGGGTGAGTGAGTGGGTGAGTGAGTGGGTGAGTGAGTGGGTGAGTGAGTGGGTGGGTGAGTGAGTGAGTGGGTGAGTGAGTGAGTGGGTGAGTGAGTGGGTAGGTGGGTGAGTGAGTGAGTGAGTGGGTGAGTGAGTGGGTGGGTGAGTGGGCAAGTCTCCTGGGGAAGCGCTGCCTCTCTCTAAGGTGGGTTAACAGACGCAACGTTCCAGGTTGAAAGCTGTCACTGAGATGAGAGGACACCGGGGTCCATACAGTGTGTGTTGCTTCAGTGAGACAAGTTCAGAGTTGAGATGGCCATTAGAAGTCATCAGCTCTGATTCGCCTATGCATCTTCCCTTGCAGAGACTGAGGCCTGGAGTCCACAGTGGGCCACTGAGGTCACGTGATTGGCCAGTAACTGCCAGGGCTATCACCACACAGTCCACAAAGTTCTGTGGGTTTCTACTGCTGTTTTCCTTCCCCCATCAACACAGTCCAGAGGAGAGGCTCCGCCTCTCTGCCTCATCAAAGCATGTCACTAGGGGAAAGGGCCTGCGCTGTGTCACATGGGCTCAGATGAAGCAGTGGTCATCCAAGAGGAGGCACAGATTCTAGCCTGTGTCTCGGAGTCACCAGGATACCCTGGAAAATCCCACTTTCCCCTCTGGGCCTCTGTTTGCTGGGCCTGGGAAACCCGGGGCACAACAACCACATACAGACTGCTCCCGGCCCGCTGTCCCCACCGGCACAACTGATGTGCCCTGGCTCCTCTGCACCCCCTTCATGTCCCACTCAGGCCCTGAGCCAGCGCAGTGGCACCCTTTCCTGAACACCTGCCCCTGCAGGCTAATGGGACTTGTCACCTCAGTCCTGCTCCTCTCTCAGGTCTCCAAGGACAGCTACTATGGCCACTCTCCACACCAGGGCCGGGCCCCATGGCGTGGCTCATCTGCTATCTGCCTTATCACCAACTAGACCAGTGGTTACCAACCTGTGGTTCACGAATTCTTTGGGGGTTGCATATCAGATATTTACATTACTATTCATAGCAGTAGCAAAATTACAGTTATGAAGTAGCAACAAAATAATTTTATGGTTAGGTCACCACAACATGAGGGACTGTATTGAAGGGTCACAGCATTTGGAAGGTTGAGAACCACTGACGCAGACCGTCTTGTTGTCCTCCTACTGAACCAAACTCAGTCGTGTATCTGGAATGCAGGTCAGCTGAGCCCGTTTTTCTGTGTGTTCAGCTCTTGGTCCACGGTGGTAGGTGTTCAAGACACACCATCCCTGTAGGCTAGGAACCCTCAGCGGAGGTGGAGTACAGAGTCCGGTGACCTGCAGCCTGGGTTCTCGTCCTCTCAGGAGTGTGGGTTACTGGGGCTGGGCTATGAAGAACTGTGAGGTGCTTGGATGCCAGGGCCCTGGGAAGCCATCTCTGAGGCTAGCTACCGCCACGTTGGCCGCTCAGAGGTACGGGCAGTCGCAGGGCACTGAATGGAGGATTAGGGACTTAAGCCACCAGCACTAATAGCTCTTAAGCCCCAGAAGGAAAAGTGCTGCTGGGTCAGCAGGCCCCTCCCTCTCTTCTCACCTGTGGCTTAGTCTTCCTGGCCGTGTCCTGGCCGTGTCACCAGGGCCTTGCTGAGGACGTCAAGGGAACCTGGAGGGAGACAGGTGTCCAGTCCTCTCCTGATGTTCGCTACCCACTCTATGGTGTTGAGTGCTGTGCCGTCTCAGGGCGGCGGACGGATGACCAGGGAGAAGCAGCCATTTGTTCTGAGCCCCACCCGCCCTGTTCCGCTCTGCCTTAGCTGTGCCAACTAGAGCCAGCAAGAGGCAGAGCCCGGGGGGCTTCTGGCCTTAGCAGCCTTTCAGACAGAATCTATAGAAAATTAAGTCTCACGGGAGCACAGGTGGCCAGGCGGACCCCTGCACACCTCAGAGGGTAGCCTCAGAGCCTTGGGGCGGGCCCACGAGCCTGGGGGCTGGCTGACACTGAGGAGCCACTGTGAGTCACAGGCAGGAAGGAGCACAATTGTTCCTGTGCTCTCAGAAGGTGTTTGGAGTCAGGATGAGGGATGAGGGAGCAGTCCCAGGGTGGGTGTTGTGGAATATTATTTTAAGATGTGATACATTTGTTTATGCTGTGGAACATTTCTTTAATGATGCAAAGATGTGTTGCATTCTTTTTTTTTTTTTTTTCCAGAGTTGAGGACCGAACCCAGGGCCTTGCACTTGCTAGGCAAGCGCTCTACCACTGAGCTAAACCCCCAACCCCGTGTTTCATTCTTTGATGTTGCATTTAACTCTGTGAAGCTGTGTTACTGTGCCTGTCTAAAACACCTGATTGATCTAATAAAGAACTGAACGGCCAACAGCAAGGCAGGAGAGGGACAGGTGGGGCTGGCAGGCAGAGAGAATAAAGAGAAGAAAAAGAGAGAAAAAAGAGATTTAGGAGCGAGAGGAGGAGGAGGGCTCCAGGGGCCAGCCACCCAGCCAGCCAGCCAGCCAGCCACCCAGCCACCCAGCCACCCAGCCAGCCAGCCACCCAGCCACCCAGCCACCCAGCCAGCCAGCCAGCCATGGAGTAAGAGTGAAAGTAAGATATAAAGAAGAAAAGGAAAAAGCCCAGAGGCAAAAGGTAGATGGGATAATTTAAGTTAAAAAAAAAAAAGCTGGCTAGAAACAAGCCAAGCTAAGGCCGGGCATTTATAAGAAAGAATAAGTCTCTCTGTGTGTGATTTATTTGGGAGCTGAGTGGCAGGCCTCCAAGAGAGTTAAGAGGAAAAAAGAGCCAACAAGAGATGGGGGCCTTGCCTGTGGTGGCCGCAATGCCCCTGTCATCGCTGTGTAAAGCCCAGGCCAGGGAAGAGGCACAACAGAGGGATGCAACCCTGAGGCACGGTCATGGGGACGCCTGGCTTCAGCAGCCATGAAGAGGGAAAGGTTAAGGAGTAGAGGCCCACAGACACCCCGCCTGGTATGGCCCAGCCAGTCAGCTGCCATCTTCCTCTTCCTCACAGTGGACATGACACACAGCATCAGTACACAAGCCCTGACAGTCTTACCAAGCTCTGGGGCTCCAGCCGTCACCTCTCCCTGATCCCATCCCCTTCCTGACAGAACTGGCACCTCTAGCTCCCTGTCCTAACTTCCTTCAGTCAGGGTCACTGTGGGCTCCATTCACAGATGCTGGCTATGGCTGAAAACTCCATATCCAAGCTGAAGGGCCTTGTGTACAGAGGTGGAAATGGAATCCAGTAGGGAAGAAGCAGAACAGGGTGCTCAGTGTGAAGGCTGCCTAAGGGTGTGGGTCCAACTTTGGTTCAGCAGGTACGTTTGTTCAACCAGAGAGTGCCTCTGGCCTCAGTTTCACTATTTGTGTGGGCACCCCTAGAGGCTGCTCAGACCAGACATGACGATGCTTCAGCAAGAACTGGAGCTGTGGCCAGGCTCAGCCTCAGGGGCTTGGCTCCCAGCAGGACTCTTCCTGAATTTCTGTGTGATGGGCTGAGAGGATGCATGCCGGCATCTCAGTCAGCCCCCACCCCCACCCCCACCCCCCCACCAGCCACAGACCATCTGATCTGTCACTGTGATTGACGCCTGTTGGGTAGCTGGCGCTGTTTCCTCCCTCGCCCCACTTCTTTCCCAGCCATATGCAAATGAGTTCAGTTCAAGGCACGCGCTAATGGAAATCCTAACACATTAATAAATGTTTAGTGCGAGAGAGAGCATGCATGATCATAAGCAATTAGACACTCGACGGAGGAGTTGTGTTGGCACAACTGTCTGGCTCCCTCCTTCATTCCCTCCATCATCTCCACAGAGGGGGGAGGTGTTGGGGGGGGAGGGCCTGGACCTTGCCTGGCTCCTTCCTTCATCTCCACAGAGGCAGAGGGGGTGGGGAGGGCCTGGACCACACCTCACCTCTGTCGCTCACTCTACTCTCACCTCTCATCCCAGCAGAGGGCATGCTACTGCCAGCCTCACAAGGAGGTCTTCAGCATGGCTCCTAGCCACTCAGTTTCCCTGCTCCCGCCCGTTAAGATACTGTGTGTGTGGTGGGGAGGCGGGTGTTGCTGCCTGTCCCTGGGCAGGTAGCATGCAGGAGGACTTCAGAGATTACAACTCTAGGTGCTCACTCAAGGCTGGAAGCCCAAGGGCCCTAACTAACACCTGCTGCTCTTCTAGTCATGACCGGCACGGGGGCTGCGGCTGCACAGAGGTGCCCAGTGTGTGTGAGTTCTCCTTCCAGATTCTGCCTGATACCCTTTCCCCAACATTCTATGGATCCCAACTGGACCCCCCCCCCCCCATGCCTCATGCCCTGGAAGGAAGGGAAGGAGCCACAAGGCTGAGTATCCTGTGGAAGCGGACCCCTTGACTGGTGTACAGGGCGGGCTCCAGGAGTTCCAAGGACAAGACTATTCATCGGAGGTAGGTATCTTATTTTGTTGTCAAAATGGATCCTCATTCAAACAAAATAAATAAACAACAACAAAAACATCCATGTCCCTGCCCCTTGTTGCCATTTGATTCGATTACGTTTTAAAAGCACGAAAAAGCAATGTTCCTTTCCAATCAAATTAGAAACAGGTGCACTTTTGCATAAGGAAATTAAGTTGCAGACAATATGAGGATTTGCTAAAACGCAGACACTGATGAAAACGAGTAGCCCTTTTATTTGTCGTTATTGAGGCAATCTGTTGGCAAAGTGTTCACGGTAACGGTCTGACAGATCTGCGGACTCCAGCAGGCTGCCATGAACACTTGAGCCCTTCTGAAAGTAACAGATTTTTTTTTTCTTAGAAAATATATGTACGTTCTCTTCTGCATCTCCTGGCGCTATTTACAAGGCACGAAATGCCATAAATAGGAAATCTGTGGTTACACAAGGCGAGGCCCCTCCCCATTATACAAACTTCATCTGGGCAGGAGACACATTCTGAGGGTTTAATTCTTTCTCCTCTACAGTCTGGGTACAACAAGGAGCCAGGGGAGCGGGTGGTCCCAGAGGTCAGTCAGGGCTCACGAGCCAGTGTCGTCGATGCGTCTCCGGCAGTAGGGGCAGCAGGCATGCTGGAGCACCAGCAGCTCATAGTCCTCCGAATGGAACATCTGAGGAGAGACAGCCCATGACACAGGGAAGCAGGGCCAGGTGCCCTAAGCCCCGAGGAGAAACAGCTAAGCAGGGAGTTGCTGCCAACAACAGCAGATCGATAGGACTGGAGGGCTCTTCATTCTGAATGAAGTCCACAGGTGCATCATCCCTCAGCCAGGGCAGTGCAGAGCAGGAACCAGGTAAGGTCCACTGCAGCCAGCTGGGCAGATGCAAAGGGCAGGCTGGGGCCAGCTCACGCTCCTCCCCCGACATGCCCGGCTTCCCACGGGAGACACAAAGAACGCAAGAGCAGGAGAGCCTGCCAGCGGTAGGCTGGGTACCTGAAAGCAGGAGGGGCACATGGTGATGGAGGCGTCGGGCAGCAGCGAGCGGAAGTACTGCCATTGCAGCGGTGGAGGCCAGCGCTTGATGAGAACGTCCCTTCGGCTCATGGAACGCAGCACTGACCGGTTCACCACCACGGGCACGAACTCAGAGCCACCTTGCTGTGAGGGGGGATGTACATGGGTGCTGTATCCTTGGCCTGATCTTAGGATCCTTGGTGGCCAAAGGGACAGCACCACATCTCAACTCCAGGCAGCCCTGACAGTGACAGGCCCCGCCCCCATGCCAGCACTGAAGTGTCCTTGGAATCACTCAGTCACCACAGGAAGC